AAAATAAAATAGGGGAAAAATAAAATTAAATCTCTGAATAGTAACTCACAGCTTAGTACTCTTTTGAGGGAGGTACAGGTTTCAAAGGTAATCAGTAACACAAAGCAAATCAGTGAAGCACAGTTCTAAGCTTTTAAGTTTAATGGCCGCATCTTGGGTGCTATTCCACATAGTGGTTTTGGTGGACACCCAATTATTGGGGTTAGAGTTTCTCAAAGGTTCTGTGATCAATGTTTCTAGAATCTAATATCTTATGAAGACCACAATGTGGGTTCAACTCTCAAGTATCTGTGAGAATATGTGAACAGAAGAGACCACATGAATATTATCCACAGAAAACAAGAAAAGTAAATAACCCAATAGTTTTATTATATCTTTATTAGGGCACATAATATACATTCATCAATGCATCTGATAAACAATTGCCTGTGAGACATCACACAGAGGATGGCAAAGATGAATAAGAAGTGCTTTTAAGAGGCTGAAAGTTGAGTGGGTTGTATTATAATTATTTATTATATCTTCTTCCACTATGAGAACAGACACCTGGTTTTGCTCATTCTTGTATTTCGAATATTTAGAAGAGTGCCTGGCACATAGGTGCTCAATAAATATTGATATGAAATTAGATAGTTCTTTGCATAGATATATATTTTATTAGACTATTACAGACTACATATTCTTGAGGATAGGTGATGGCTTTATCTTTTATCCTACAGTACCTGTTTTTGAATATAGCAATGTCTGCCACTGAACTGTAACTTTCAATTCATTCTTGAGTGGATTTGCTAAATTATTAAAGCTTGTGGTGTCTGCACTCTTAATCATAGAGAACCAACACTGTGAATTATACCTATGAAGTCTCAGAAAACTCTTTCCTTTAATGAGGAGAAGAAAGTAATTTGAAGGATGGAAAGTTTAAAAAAATTTAAGTTGAGTCACATTTGACCTAGAAGAAAAATTCACAGGAAAAAAAGACAGTGGGGGGAAAAAAAAAAGACAGTGAGGGGAATGGGGAAAATCTGATAGATGTTAGGGACTAATCTTAAAAACAAAGCCAAAACATATTTTCCATAAAACAAAAAAAGAAAGAAAGAAAAGAAAAATCTGCCTTTGTTAAATAAGAAACATGGTGGTTACTCACAGCATTAACAGAGTCATTTTTCCGGGCATGGAAGGTTCCCCAATTCCTCCAGCTATTACTCAGGGACAGAACTGGAGACACTGATGAGACAGACTTTTCCAGCCCAGTGGCTGGCAAGCTTCATTGCACATTAGAATCACCTGGGGAGACTTTTAAGCACTACTGATGCCTGGACCCACCCTCTGAGCTTCTGATTTAGTTGATTTGAAGAGGGTCTTAACAACCACATTTCTGAAAAGTTCCCCAAGTTGAGCCTACTGGAAAACCAGGTCCAGAGGACTGCGTTAGAGGAAGAGTATTTTTTAGGAAAAACAGAATTTTGTTAGAGAAGGGACAAGATCTGTAACAGGAAGCCTTAGATTTTAGTCCAGATTGTGGGCAGATCATTTATTTATCTTCTTCTCTGTCTCTATATTCTCAAAGGCAAAATAAGATCTAGCAAAGCTGTTAGAAAGACAAAAAAGGAAAATGGGTATGAAGCACTGCGTGGTCACTAAGATGCAAATATTTATTTAATACCACCACTAGGACCTTCAATCTTTTAGTTCTGGTTTGAAATTTTGTACAGAACCCCACACAGAAAGTGATTAACATGTGCCAAATGAAAACTTACATTTTCATGTTAACAAATCCAGAGTGGAATAAAGGAAGCAATTAGAAAGCAGATAGTCATTCCTCTATAATGGGAAATGGTCCCAGAGAGATGGACTGGTAACCTTAGGAGGAAAGGCCCTTCATTAACTCTCATTTTAGTTAATTGCTATGTTCACAAATTATTTAACCAACATGAGAGCATAATCAATCTCCATCTCCTTGCTAAAGCAGGCTAGAAATTCTGGGCCAGAAATAATTTAGCACCCCAGATTTTTATCACCTGACAAAATTTGTCTTTTCACTTCAGGGCTTTTTTTGCAAGGTCTTCAGGTCCTAAATTAACTCCTTTCAAAACATGAATTAACCTATCATGATAGATAATGTTGTTTAGTTGCCAAGTGGTGTCCGACTCTTTTGCAACCCCATGGACTGTAGCCCACAAGGATCCTCTGGTCCATGGGATTTTTCAGGCAAGAATACTAGAGTGGGTTGCCATTTCCTTCTCCAGGGGATCTTTCTGACCCAGGGTCAAAACCTGTGTCTCCTGCACTGGCAGGCTGATTCTTTACCACTGAGACACCTGGGGGCGATAGAAAATTATTTTAAGGTCAAATCAATGCCAGGACTAAAACTTTAAAAATAAGTTTGGTCGAGGATCTCCCTGGTGGTTCAGTGGCTAGGACTCCATGCTTCCAATGCAGGAATGGGGGTGGGGCATTGCAGGTTTGATCCTTGGTGGGGGTGTATGCTGTGTGGTGCAGCCAAAACATTAAAAAAGGGTCTGGTCAACAGAAAGGTGTATTCCCTATAAAATTCACCTAGATATTTGTGATCAACTTTCTGAAATCATAACTTCCATAACTTCCAATAGATATGAGCTGTGTACTAGGTAATACAGGAGTTCTCTTTAGGAGAGAAGCATTGTCCTCTGTCACTTTCTGTTAGGGTATCTTCCTTCATAGAGAACACCTTCAGACTGGCTGGACTGCTCAGAGAAGCTGACACTTTCTCTCAGAATCCAGCCTGCTCTCAGTTGCAGTCCACAGCCTGTTCAGAGGTCCTTTCAGCTTTTCAACACCCAAGGTATGGAGGAAAAACTAACTGATAAGAACTGCTTTCCACCAACTTGGGGGTTAAGCTATTCAAGCAAGATTTCCTACACAAAGACTAAGAAAATGGAAAAAAGCCCAGGCAATTCTATTTCTTACTGGGTCTTTAAAGTTTAGAGCCTGCATAAAGGACAAGGGTCTCAGCTTACAAGGTCAGTTAAGTGATCTAGCCAACGTCCACAGAAACTTCTGAGGCAGGACTTGAACTCAAGTCTTCTAGCTTCATGTCAACTGTATCACACTACCTTAGTAATCCCTCATGGAACATGTTTAATGTTAGGTCAATTTTCCAGGCATGGCTCAACAGTAATTTTTGTCATGTGGAAAGGGTGTTGGGCTGAGAATGATATCTGGGGTCTAGCCCTTGCTTTGCTGTGTGTTTGTGTATGTGTGTCTCTCTGTGTGTGTACATGATCTTTAAGAGATCTGGCCTCTTTACTAGTTTTTGGTTCAGTTTGTTCATCCCACCACCTAGAAAATCCCAGACACTGACTGTCCAGTTCTCCCATCTGCTTCTTCCTGTACCAGATACAGCTCTGAAGGCTCTCACAGAGCAGTGTTGACTACTGTCACCACAAATCCATGGTCTCCAATCTCAATGCTGCTCAAAAAAGACCCATTCATCTCCTCCTGAAATCTCTAATAACCTTAGTCTCAGTCTTTTGCTTCTATGCTTGCTCCTTTCCAAACTATTCTTCATAAAGCATCCAGAGTTGTCTCTTTAAACATACATACAATCATGCTATTTCCCTGTTCACAACTCTTTAATAGCTTCTCGTTGCACTGTGAATAAAACCCCAACTCATTACATACCTACAAGGTCTTGCAGGTTCTTGTCCCCATCCTCCTCCCAGACCTTATCTCAGGCCATTCTCCTCTTTGTTTGTATTTGTCAACTGTAATAATCCCCGTTTAGCTCCTTACACATGCCAGATTCGTCTTTCCTGCTTGTTATGGACTGAATGTTTGTGTCCTCTCACCCTGAAACTTAACACACTGAAGCCTTAACCCCCACCGTGGCTGTATTAGGAGATGGGGCCTCTAAAAAAATAATTAAGGTTAAATGAGGTCACAATGCTGGGGCCCCAATCACATAGGATTAGTGTCCTTATAAGAAGACACATTAGAGAGCATGTTCTCTCTCTGTATAAATGCTCAGGAAAGGTAATGTGAAGACAGAGCAAGAAGGTGGCTGTCTACAGGACAGGAAGAAAGCTTTCATTAGAAACCCAATTTGCTGACACACTGATAATGGACTTCTAACCTCCAGAACAGTGAGAAAACAAATTTCTGTTTTTTAAGCCACCCCGTCTATTGTATTTTGCTATAGGAGCCCAAGCAGAGTTAATATACTACTGCCTCAGAGTTTTAAACATATGCTATTTCCTTCTTTCTGGAACCTCCCTCTTCCTTCTTCCTTCCTTTTTTTCCAACTTCCTCACTTTCTGTTTAATATGCCTTCCAACTGGACCACTGCAATAAAACAACTCTCCCAAAGGTCACCATTTCACCAAAACCAATGGGTATTTATCATTTTATTTTACTGGACCCTCTCTTTCCCATGGGACATTGTAGATCTCTTAGTTTTTGAACCCTCTTCTTCCCTGGCTTTGATTTCAGTACTTTCTCTAGGTACTCCTCTAACCATTTCCTCAAGATTTCATTCTGGAACTGCTTAAATGTTAAGTGTTCCACTTGATCTTGCCCTTGGCTCATGGTTCTTTTGTGTATGACATTCTCCTTGGATAACTTCATCAATCTTCATGATTTTAATTCTAATAGTGTGTTGATGATTCCCAAACCTAGCTCAGTCCTCTAAAATAGATTTGAATATCCAACTTCTGGCTAACCATCTCTACTTGGGTAGTCCACAGGCACCTTAAACTCAAGATATCTACAAGTGAACTCTATACGTCCCCTGGTGAACTAGTCTCTCTCTTTCAATTCACTATTTCAGTTCATGGTCACATTGTGATAGGAACAAAAAAACCTAGGGTCATTCGGGGCTATCCCTTCTTCTTCACAAATTGCTTTTTTTTTTTCAAGTACCAGAAATAAATTAGTCATAATTAGTCACTAGTTCACTCTCATTATGTTAGTACCTTTGCAGTAACAATATGCTCTCATGGTTTCCTCTAGGCAAAGATACCTACCTTTCCCTCTTTGAAGTGCTTCTTGAGCTGCTTCTGCATGGCAGTCAGCTTCTTGGACTGCACTCCACTGTAAGCCAGCAGCATGCCACCAAACTGCCTCTCAGTGATTCTCCCATCCACAGGGTCATGGCGTTCAAACTGGAAAGTGAATAGAAAGAGTGTTCACGGGGTCAAATGGAAAGTATTTTGACATGTGATGTGGAAAGATCAACTGTTGGATTCTGAGAATGACTGATGGCTGGGATCATGAACTATAATTCTCACCAAGATTAAAAAAAACTGAAACACAATATTTGGGTTTATATGCCAGATCTGCCACTAAGTTACCCAACTACTCTAGGAGTGAATTTTCTCACCAATAAAACAGCTGCTGTAACATCTCCTATATCTTCTAGATCAGGAACTTCCTTGTGAGAATAAAAACAATGCTAAAACTGATCAAATTTAAATTGATCAGTAATATTATTAGTAATAAGTGCTCTCTGGATCATCCACATCTGTTACTCAGAGAAAACTTAAAAGTTAATTATTATAAATTTGATCAATTGTACATACCAGTTCCTTGATCTGTACTTAATATTGTTATACAGACCTCTAAAGATTTCAGAGAAGAGCAGTGTGTTTTCCAGTTTTCCCCCAAATGGTAATCAAATGTTAGAACATCAATAGAGCTTGAAAAAAAATGTATAGAGCATACGATGCCTCAATTAGACATGCATACTTATCACAAAGCTACAAAAAAATCATTAAGCATATTTAAATATGCAGACCGAAAGGCTAAGCACAAAAAACTTTGAGCTAATTTAAGTAATATCAGAAAACTAAGACTGTCATTTAAAAACAGAGAGAAGTTATCTCAATACCAGCTGCAGTGTTAATGATATATATAAATGCCTAAATAATAAAATGGCTAAAGATGGGCCTAGAAACCAATTAGAAAGCAAAATGATTTCAACATGGTAAAACTTCCCCATGGTTTTATGGAAACAGTTACAAAGAAACTTTCCAATTCCTACATGGTAGGGCAAAATCTTATTCTCCTAAGAGGGTTATATATAGACATAACACATTGCTAAGTAAGATCAAGTCAACAAACATTTCCTGAATGTCTACTAGTTATCTAGCACTGTTAGTCACTGTAGGGTACAGGAAAGAAGATTCAGTTTCTGTCCTTAGGAACTTTACCATCTAGTAACAAGATAAGGTTTACATGTAAGATATAAAATAAGGAAGTATATAGTTAAGGGTGAAAGTCTCTCTCAGTTTTTATTTCCTTGCTTAGTTTGGTAAATTGATATACACTTTGTCTCCTCATTGGTCAGACTATGTCAGTGATCAAGACACACGAGTTACATTTTAACAACAGCAATCATTTGCTGATAGTGTACTATGAACCAGGTACTTCACTCATACAATCTTTCATTTAATTGCTGTAACAATCCTATGGAGTAGATATTATCAGCTTCATTTTACAGTTGAGAAAACTGAGGTAGGTAAAGTTAGAGCTGGGGGTCATATGTGGCTCTGTCTGGATCCAAAGACTGTTACCTCAATAACATACTATTTCCTCCTTCTAAACACCAGTACATATTCATCCTATAGGATAGCAATATGTTGTTTTGGATTAACTTATAAAGCAAGGGTGCTTAGTCATATTTGAGTGAGAAGCAAAACTCTTTCCATAGAAATCAGCATCAATATTAAGCAAAAGCTTTGTTTTTAACTCAACCACTCAGTATTTCATGTTTGCCACACCATCACTTCTACAGAGCTGATTAATTCTGGACAACACCAAAAGTTTTCAGGATTTAATTTAAGTTTGATTTATGATTCAATTAACCACCCTGAAACAAAAATGGAGGACGGATAAAATTTTCTGCAAATGAACATACTTTCTGCAATGTTTAAATCAGATTTTCAGTGACATGTGATACCCGGGCCAAAGCTGGGCTTCTTCAATGCGAGTGAAACAAAGCTGCCATCCCTGCTCTCCTAGGCTTCAACTATTTAGGGTGTTCATTCTACCTCTTTCTGGGAGGTTTCACAGTTGTTGAGAAATCCCATAAATTTGAATTAGATGAGTTAAGTTTTATCCCACAAGATAGATTCAAGGTTGCAATGTCTCTTTTTACAGTGTTGGCAGCAGCAGCAGTGTGCTCAGGCTTATGAAAGCCTGCATTCATCTGCTCTCCACAAGGGCATAAACCTCACCTCTGCCACGTCTCAAAGCAGTAAAGACAATTTCCAGTGGAGATCCCCAAGTAACAATTCCAGTGCTCAAATTAGCATTTTTACTAACTTTCTTTGGAAACACAGGCTTGTCTTTTTCTATCATTATTAATATTTTGATGTGGTTGGAATGTGAAAGGGCGTGAAAGTTAAAGTGTCCGACTCTTTGCAACACCGTGGACTGTAGCCTGCCAGGCTCCTCTATCCATGGAATTCTACGGGTCAGAAAACTGGAGTGGGTAGCTGTTCCCTTCTCCAGTGGATCTTCCCACAGGGACTGAACCCAGGTGTCCCACACTGCAGGCAAATTCTGTACTGTCTGAGCCACCAGAGAACCTAAAAACTATAAAACTCAGCCCCAGGCTGTGCAGCCCACTTCAAAGTTCACTGCCTCCTCTGTAACTAGATTTGGAGCAGCACTGAAGACCTACTAGGCCAGGGGTTTTCAAGGGTAGCTTCTCAAGGGCCTGCATTAGGGATGCATTTTCAAGGGCAATAGCTTGACATCATGTGTTACCACATGAGTATAATCCCCAAGGTCATGAGAGGGTCTTTGGGGAAACAAAGATTATTGCAAAATTATCACAGTGTAGAAAGCTTCTATTTATACATCTGGAGGCAACTGAAATGATTGGCTTATATTTTATTTATCAGATATTGATAAAGCCTCTTAAGTTTCCACTTCAGTAGGACAATTAAGAAATTCCATTCTATTTGATCCTGTGGCACAGAATATATGTGTTCCAGGGTACCACCCACAAATTTCACTGCTCCTTCAGACTGTATTAACAAAGCTACAGTAATAGAAACAGCATGATACTGGAATGAAAACAGACATAAACATCAGTGGAACAAAAGAGCCCAGAAATAAACCCACACACCCTGGGGTTACCTAATATGACAGGGGGATAAGAAAACACAATGGAGAAAAGACTATTCCTTCAATAAGTGGTGCTGGGAAAACTGGAAAGACATAGAAAACAATGAGATTAGAACATTCCCTCATATCATATATAAAATATCCCACATATAAAAAAACAAGATGGTTTAAAGATCTAAATATAAAACCTGAAACCATAAAACTCCCAGAAAAAGTCTGACATAAATTGTAGCAGTGTTTTCTTGGATCAGTCTTCTAAGAAAAGAAATAACATAAAAAGATAAACATAAAAAGAAATAACATTAAAAATGAAATAAAAAAGAAATAACATAAACAAATAAACAAATGGGACCTAATTAAACTTAAAAGTTTTTGCTCAGCAAAGGAACCACTGACAAAACAAAAAGACAACCTATGGGATGGAAGAAACTATTTGTAAGTGATGAGAAGGGGTTAATATCCAGAATAAACAAAGAGCCTATACAAGTCAGTATCAAAAAAACCCAATCAGAAAATGGGCAGAAGACCTGAATAGACTTTTTTCCAAAGAAGAAATACAGATGGCTAACTGGCACATGAAAAGATGCTCTACATCCTTAATTATTAAACAAATGTGTAAATCAAAACCACAATGAGGTATCACATCACACCTGTCAGACTGTCTAGCATCAAAAAGTTTACAAATAAATGGTGGAGAAGGTATGGAGAAAAGGGAACTCTCTTCCTATACTGCTGGGGCAAATATAAATTGGTGCAGGTCACTACAGAAAACAGTATGGAAGTTCATTAAAAAACTAAAAATAGAAGCCTTAAATGACCCATCAATTCAACTCCTAGGTATATCTATCTGGAAAAAATGAAAACACTAATTCAAAAGACACATGCACCCCAGTGTGCATACCAGCACTATTTACAATAACCAAGACATGGAAGGAACTCAAGTGCCATCAATAGATGACTGAATTAAGAAGATGCAGTATATATATATATGCAATGGAATACTACTCAGCCATAAAAAGAATGAAATACATTCATTTATAGTAATATGGGTGAATCTAGAAAACATTATGTTTAGTGAAATAAGTCAGAGAAAGACAAATACTATTATCACTTATATGCGGAATCTAAAAATATTACAAGTGAATGTATATATAAAACAGACACAGAATCAGAGATACAGAAAATAAACTTATGATTATCAAAGGGAGATGAAAGGAGGGACAGACAAATTAGGGGTATGGGCCTAATAGATACAAACTACTATATACAAAATGGTAAGCAATAAGGATGTATTGTAGAACTGAGGAAATTATAGCCATTATCTTGTAGTAATCTATGATGGAGAATAATCTGCAAAAATACTGAATCACTATACTGTACACCTGTAATGAACACAATACTGTAAACTGACTATACTTCAATAAAACAAACAAAAAAAGAAATTCTAATCTGTTGGATCCTGTGGCACAGAACGTGTATGTTCAAGCACACTACCCACCATTTGCATGGCTTCTCTGAGACTAGGAAGAGAGCTGAGCTTAGCATTTTCTCTTCTGTGCCACTGCCACTTTCTCAAATGGATACAAGCTGCTGGCTTCCTGTTGTTCCCCAGGGGGCTGCAGGGCAGAGAAACGGGACAGAGAAGAGGAGCCAAAAAACTGTCTGCAAGATTTTCCCTCTGTTTCTGACCACACTGTGTCTCTCACTCCCATCCTGGCCCCTTGTGGAGAGAAAGAACAGTTCTCTGGAAAGACAGATGGTGTGTGTGTGTGTGTATACACACACACACACACACATATATATATATAGAGAGAGATGAAATGATTTAAGGAAGAAGGGAAGCTAGGAAGAAAACATGTACTATGAACAAAGGCCAAAATAAGATTAGAAAATAGTAAAAGAAAACAGAAATCAGTATCTGCAAGTGGGTCTTGATTTAGTAAAGACTTCTGAGGTTAATATATTTCAACAAATGTAAAAAATTCTCTCACAAAATTACATTTCAGGAGACTCTGTCTACCCTTCAGAG